GGCCAACAAATTAGACATAGAACTGAGCAAATTACTTAAAAGTGACTAGGTTTTTCACAAAGAATTATGAATTACATTAGCGTTTTCTGTATTGCTTCAGAATTATCAAGAAGCAATTTAATGAAGCAAGACACTTGTGTTTTGCAACACACAACCTGAATTTGGAATACATCTATCTATATCTTCATGTAATACAATTTCCATTGTCAACAGCATATGGTTATTTTTTGAAAGTAAATATATTTTGTGCGTCATAATTAGTGTTGGATTTAATTATTCTGAACCTTGTTCTCAGCAAAACTGCTGAAAGAGATATTACCCTTATTGGGGACATTTTATGAAGATATGTTCATAAAATAATCCTTCAATATGGGAAATATCATTATCAGCAGATTTCAAATTAGGAACAAACGAAATTCCCGGCAGATTCCTAGCATCCTTTATTCCAGGCGCATTCTCGGCATGCTCCAGGCAAGTAGACGGCGCAACCATCTGACAAACGTCAGTGGTGTTGCCATCTCTTAACGTGCAGCTTCAGTCTTATGTGTTTTGTGCATCCAGACCCAAACAAAAGAGAGGTTAACTAAAAATGACAGCAATAAACCGTCATACTTGTCAAAGCCGCCATTTTTTTCTGAGTGCCAACAGTGTTGTCAAGTTATGGTTCCCATTCTTCCATATGAGTTGCCCGTGTTACGCCAGGCGCGCACATGCGATTTTCAGTCGCGCGATCGTTCAGTCGTAAAAATGAAACACACAGTTTTTCAATAGAAATGCGCGCATAATCGCCGCGGCTAAAAAGATGCAACCAGTTCTATTCAGGAAGCGACACGATTATCGCAAATCAAACTAAGTCACAGGGACACGAATGAACGTACACGCACCTACGACTACTTAATAGCAATTCACTGTTCAACAACTGTGCCGCGCTGCGTTGGGCTGCTGATTTTCTAAAATGTCCGGCGACGAATTGTTCACCAGGGATGACCATCCAGATAGTGTCTTGGACACAGAGATAATAATTGCCAAGGTGGGAAAAAGACCTGTTCTTTACAACAAGCAATTGGATGGAATTATCTGCAACGGGAAAACAAAAGAAATGTATTTTCATGCTGTTTATTTTCTTTATTCTCAGGTGTTATAAAACGGTACAATTAAAATTTTATCATATTACCACGGTCTTGAGCCTTCTGAGAATGTAAAGTAATTTGCAAAATAATCTCTGATTTTAAGACCACACATGTTAGCCCGTATTCTAGTTGGATGACAGCTTTGCATAGGAGATTCTTATAACTCATCCTCAACTTGTAAACCATCCTTTTTCCGCACGAAATTATTCAAAACATAACATGCTTTGATAATATGGTCAGCTTCGTAGTATTGCTTTATACGTCGTATTTTATAATATCAACGCAACCACACAAGCAGTTTGAGAAAAAATCCATGATGGTACTAAAAGTAGTTACGATTAATTGATCACAAGAGCGATCCCAAAAAAGTGTAAATACATTTTTCCGCTATCACGGTATTTCAGTCGTGCGACCGAAAATCGCACGTGCTCGCCTGGCCTCGTACTACCGCTGATCAGTGGCCGCCCATACTCTGTGCCCATACAATCGCCCAAAATGGCAGCTGATTTGATCTTAACGACTCTCGGCGTGTTTGGTCAGGGTTGCCAGATGTGTCAGATAGAATTCCCCCTGTTCAAAAATCCACTAAATACTCAATTTTCGAAAAATCACTCATATTTCAATGAAAAACATTTTATTACTGAAATATAATTAGTGAGGATAATTTTCCAAGATAAACTATGTTGATCATTTAGACAGATTTTGCGTTAGGTAATATGTATGTGCTTAAAAAAATGCCAAACTCCATTAAAATGTTTAATTTTTAAATACATGATATGTGGAAGTGAAAACAGAACTGAAGCACATTCTTATATTATATAGTTCTTTCACTGAAACAAAGCAGTTACTTCATATTCAGTAAATTTGAATGCCAACCTTAATGCAAAATAGATCCTAAATTGGTACGTGTAGTTTGAATTTCCCGGTACATTTATGTTGGTAACATTTTTCTGTGTTGTGAAATTGTCGCAAAGCTTGTCGCGTAATGACGCCAACGGCTGTGGTTTATTTGTGGTTTATTTTCATTCTTTTTCCTCAATATTTGCATTGTTATGTTATAAAAGTAGTTTTGTTTAAAACTTTGAGGTGTCCTTTTAAGCATTTTGCTAAAATGCCGAAACCTCTGGGTCGACGTCATTTCTTTGACGAAATATTTTGAGACCCAATTGAGTTCCATTATCGCCTTTACCGTCCGTAAGAGGTAGTAAATAGAATTTATTTATTTATTAATCTACGTATTTTCTTAACAGCGTGTCGCTGATGCATTGAAAATATGTTTATCAATGGTGAATAGGTTATATTATATAAAGGATTTTCCATTAAGGACTTGACAACTTTTTTAAAAAAAAAACGCAAACAATTTCAGATATCTCGAAAATTTTATTGTTGGATTGAAGTATGTATACTCAAAATTTGACCTCGTTCATATGTTCACCACGGGCACGTTCGTTGAACCCAATTTTCAATGACTCGACCACACATGTCGACAGAAACGGCCGCTATCTCATGTTCAATATTGGCTCTGAACTCCTTTAACGACGCCGGCTTGTTGGCATAGACCAATGATTTAATGTAGCCCCACAAAAAAATCTAGAGGTGTTAAATCACACGACATAGGCGGCCATTCGACGGGACCATTTTTCGATATAACACGTTCACCGAATTTTGATTTCAATATGTAGATTGTTTCACCCGCCGTGTGGCTTGTGGCACCGAACGCCGTGTGTCTTGTGGCACCGAATTGTTGAAACCACATATCCAATTGACTAAAAAAATAACGTTGCAACATGTCTCTGTAGCGATCTCCGTTGACTGTAACGTGACAGCCATTATCAACAAAAAAAAAACGGGCCCAATGACACCACCGGCAAGAAAACCACAACATACAGTTATTTTAGGTAGATGAAGTGGTATTTTTTGAAGCACATGAGGGTTATATAACGTACATGCATATTTTGTTTCTTGACGAAGCCGTTTAGCCAAAAATGCGCTTCATCACAGAAAATGATTTTGCGATGAAATTGGTAATTTTCTTGCAACATTTCTAGAGCCCAATTCATATGATCGAACGGCTTTAGTTCTTGAGTTAAGTTGATCCTATAAGGGTGCAGGTCAAGATCTCTTCGCAAAATTCGCCATAGTGTAGTCTGAGCGATGCCCAATTCTTGACAAACACCGTGGAACGACGTGTTCTGTTCGTTTGCGATGGAATCTTGAACGGCAGCAATATTCTCGGCACCTCGACCAACCCGTTGATTCAAATTTGTTTACTGGACTATGAATTGCTTGTCTACTGGGACGAGAATTACCACCAAAAATTGGCGTTAACGCTCTTGAAGTTGAAGTCACCGACTTGGAATTTCGGTAGTAAATTTTAGTTATTTGTAAGCGTTGTTCGTTCACAGTGAAAGTTCAAAGTTGTCAAGTGCCAATTGGAAAACCCGATATAATAACGTCCTAGGATCTAGTAGTTTTAATTAATGTGCCAACCATGTGCGCGCGAATTTGAGCGTTGCGTGCTGATTGCCAAATAAAACTAAAGAGAGTCAGGGCATGTCCCCCATGCCCTTTTCCTAAATCCGCCAATTTGGGAAAATAGCCTAATATATTTGTTGTTCCGTTGCTAAAAAGCTTAATAGATGTTGAATTTGCTGCAAATCTGGCAACATTGTTTCTCCTGAAAGGAACATTGATTTGGTATTAGCCTAATGTTGGCATTCTTCTTCCAATCACGTTTATGCATTTGTATGGAAACCTCTGCTGGAAGTATTTATTAAAACAGTTTTACACAAACACCAAGTGAAGCATCTTGGGATTTGTGAGTTACTGGTAATGAATAAGTCAATATAGCGTATTGACATTTTAGCGTATATTCTGCAATAAATATCGCAAATTAATATATCCACTCAGCCAAGAGAGATAACCAAATAATAATAATAATAAAACGTCTTATTGGGCGAAGTTTAGCATAAGCTATTTATTCTACCACCTAATGTTGTAGGGTAATGGAACCAATGAATGAACGTCACCAGTTAATGAACATAATATTAGAAAAAAATAATATTTAGCTAGATCTTACGTTCACTATGCAAGAGAAAGATAGCAATACATACTTTGAAGCATATTTCGTTACTAGACCCTTTTTTCAATATGGCTACCTAATCAGATGACCTGTTGTAACGGTGCATGTACAGCGTTATTCATCGCGTTATTCGAGTTCTATTTTTCTTATAAGAATACAGGTAAGTCCAATATTGAGTTTAATAAGCTTTATATGTTCATCACATCCTAACTAAAGGGGCTTACTGTTAAAAGTACCATTCTGGAAGCACATTTACTTATAACATAACCTAAAACTATGAAAAAACGCGGGAAACTGCAATAAAATAGCGTTCATTCACTGGTGTTCAACCATATTTCATAATTCCAGCAAATGAACAGCGCGTTCATTCATTGGATATTTCACATAATTTAATTTCAGTAATATTTTGGATTTAGGATCAACTATAAGAGTTGCAGAATGGCTTTTCGTTACTAAAATTAAATTATGAGACATATGTCCAGTAAACGAACGTGGATTCAAATGCAGTTTTCATTGGATTGGAATATTTTCTTAAACACTATTGAATGAACATAGACTTTTTGTTACTGGTAGGGACTATGATCATGACTTTTGCTTCAGGAAAAAATGGTGATTACTAAGAAAAAGCCATACCAGCGATTTCGATATACAGAAGAAACTTTGCAGGAAGTCTTACAACTCATAACAAATTTAATTTAATCACTATTTCGGAGGCGAGTAGGCGTTACAGCATTCCAAAGAGTACTCTGTCGAATAAACTCACAGGAAAGGTCCCACAAAAATGAAAGATGGGGCCTGATACAGTATTATCTAGCGAAGAAGAAAATAATCTGGAGAAATGGATTTTGTCAAAAGCTTTATTAGGATTTCCAATGCATTCTGATGAGGTGAAAGACTCTGTGCAAAAAGTTTTGAAAGAAACTGAACGCGATAATCCATTCACTGATGATAGACCTGGAAAAAAATGGTTGCAACTATTTCTCCAAAGACATCCAACTATTACTCAGCGAAACACAGAAATCATCTCTAAAGCACGGGCATCAGTGACTGAACAAAGTATTGGTTTGCTGAGCTCAAAGACTACTTAATCAAAGAGAATCATGAAGAAATATTGGAAAATCCACATCGTATATTCAGTACCGATGAAACTGGTTTTATGACTTGCCCCAAAACTGGAAAGGTCTTAGGACCCAAAAATTATAAAGCCTTTTACGAAATAGCCAGTGGCCCTGAAAAGGAATCTATTACCGTCTTGTGTACATTTTCGGCTGCTGGTACAACAGTACCCCCCATGATTTTGTACCCATACAAACGCATTCCAAGAGATATCTCGAACTCTATTCCTGATGATTGGGCCATAGGGCGATCAGACAGCGGATGGATGGTCAGTTCTACATTCTATGAGTTCATAGCAAACGTTTTTTACCCTTGGATAATAGAAAACGATATTGTGTTGCCTGTTGTGTTATTTTTAGATGGCCATAAGTCCCATATTAATATGCAGCTGTCAGAATTTTGTGCTGAAAAAGGCATTATACTGTACTGCTTGCTACCTAATGCTACGCACATACTTCAGCCATGTGACGTAGCAATATTCAAATGTCTCAAAGATCAGTGGAAGAAAACGGTATCCAGGCACAAACAGAAAACTAGTAAATCTGTCACAAAGGGTAATTTTGCAGTACTATTTAAAGCTGCTTTCGATGAAGCTATTCGCCCTGAAGTTATTAGAAAGGGGTTTGAAGTTTGTGGGCTGTTTCCTTATTGTCCAAATAACGTTGATTATACAAAGTGTATATCTAAAAGAAGGCAGGAACTTCAAGAACAAATGCAGATGGACACTGATGAAACCACTCCAGACATTACGTCTCGCGATTATGAATGTGCCCTTAAGGTTATAGAAAAGCATATTGATGCTAAATTGTTAAATACATTTAAAGACCTGAGAAACCAAGAAAAAACAACATGCGATTCTTTATTTTGTTTATGGAACCTCTGTCGAGAGAAAGGTATAGGACAAGATGAAGAATATCGTTTGGAGAGTGTGAATAGCGTTGATGTTGCTGACGGTATGGATATAGTAAATATGCCCATAGAAATAAATGGAATAATAATTAATCCTCAATCAGAAACAGATGTAAGCTCAACAAATAATGACGGTATACTTACTTTAACGAATACAAATGAAAACAAATATGAAGTTACCCATGACACGGAAAATAATCATGACACAAAAATAATTATACACAGCGATATTAGGTGGGACGCTGATGGAAGCATTCTGGTGAATAATTTCAATGAAGTGGATAACGAAAATGCAGTCGAGACCAATAACGCTGATGATCGAAAACATGAAAATGAAGAAAATGGCATAACTGAGACTAGAGATGAAAACGGGATGAATATGTTTGACTCAAACGTGGATAACGTCAACAAAAATGAAAGTATACGATACAAAAATGAATGTAGCAGCCCTCAAAATAAAGAAGATACATCTAATACAGATCAGAGTGAAAAAGAAAAGATCGGAAAGCAGATTATTGGAGTGAAAAGTCTCAAAGAAATCTGGTCGAAACATCTACATTGGCCTGATGATGTACCTACAACTAGCAAAAGAAGGCCATCTACTCCAATGCCGTATGCTATAACTTCCAAAAAGTGGAAAGAACAGATGGAGCAGAAAGAAAAAGCTAAAATAACACCAAAATCGAATAAGCTCAAATCAAATACTCAGATTAAACCAAAAGGTAATGGAGAAACATCCAATACTAACGATGTTACAAAGGCCAAAGTTGTACCTCAGGTTCCGAAAAAATAGGAACTAACTGCAAAGACAACATTTATTGTACATCAGGTGGTCATGCAGATCTGAGTAAAATGAGCTACAAAACTGATAATGTTATTGTAGGATCGTACGTGATTGTAACATATGGGGATAAGTTATACCCAGGAATCGTTGAAAAAATTGACCATGACGAATATGAAGTTAACGCTATGTGCCAAGTTGAGGGCAATAAAGGTCACTTTAGGTGGCCTTATAGGGAAGATAAAATTTGGTACAACAAAGAGTGTGTACTTGAAGCAATTCCACCCTTGGTGTTTATTAGGAGAGGTGTGTTTGACTGCCCAGCTATAAGAAAGTATCTGTGAATACTTTGTTCATTTATTGGATTCCTTTAGTTTATTTATTAGAACGATTTGTTCATTAACTAGTATTTGAGTGTTTTTGGAGTTTTATTTTTGTTACTTCTGAGATGATATATTTTCTTTGAATTATTTTATGACCATATTTTTAATAAACTTTCGTACTATTTGCCGATTTTTTTCTAATAGATCCGTTTGAAATGAAAAAAGTGTATGATAATTTGATTTGACAAATACCTTAGTCGTTCATTCATTGGTGGCATTACCCTATGTTCCAAAAATTTAGTCAATACAGGATAAATATAAAGTAACGAATATTCATTGAACGATCAATAAACAACATTAAGTACTGCTGATTAATACAATTTTTTTTATACTCCAACTACCACGAAGGCCTAAGGCCTAAGCACCCATTGGGTACCGTGGGGCTATAGGGGGATACATGGGAAAGGGGGAACGCCACACGGACTCTGGCGAGGGAACATGTGTGCATGCAACATGCACACATTCTGGCTCCGCCTACGAGATCCGCCGGGTGGTACTTCCGCGTTCGACAGTCAGAGACCATCTACCACCTACGGACAATCACAACATCCATAGCCAAGAGAAAAATTTCTCCTGAGACGGGACTCGAACCCGCACAGCGCACGGCGATTGATCAGGAGACCGAGGAGTCTACTACTGCGACCACCGCTGCTGCCTAATAATTACAATACTGAGCCAATATTCGGCAATTAAATAACATAATGGGCTAATATAGGCAAAAAGGGAAAATCAAATGTATTTTCCAAAGTTTATCCAACATAGGACCAATATAGGGTTATGTATATTCATTGAACGATCAACAAACAACATTGGAGTGCTAATGGTTCACAATATTAGTGTTATATAGGAAGATACTATAATGTATTTTTCCAACATAAGTTTTAACTTAACAAGGCTGCACATCATCTACCCGAAATATATTTACGAACACAATTACATTGTTGTGCCAATATTCTACAATCAATATCGCAAAATGACATGTTGGACCAATATCGGCTAAAAGAGAAAACCAAATGATGTATATTCCAAGGTTTAGCCAATATACAGCAGATGCCAATATATGAATATTGATCCAATATAAAAACAATGTCCTGTGCTGCTTGGGCCCCCAGGTACTGTGCTAGTAGCTTCAGTACGACGCCAGGATGGAAGTTTGTACTTGGATGGAAAAATCAACGGTAGGTCATAGGTATGCATTCGTGGACACCGGAGCCACGAAGGCAATCATGAGCCCAGGTCTGATGAAAAGTTCACTTCCATCTGCTTGGAAATTAAGTATCGCGACGGGCTACGGTAAGTGCTGTTACTGTGTATGCAGAGGCGGACGTCACCTTGCAGATCGGATTAAGCTGCAAAGGTAAAATACCTCCTCAATCGATACGGAGACATCTTCGAAGGTGAAGGCTCCAACCCAGTCAGGAGGAGGGTCATGAAGCACAAGGTCGACACAGGGGATGCAATAGCAATACGTAAAGATGCCAGAAGACTCCCGGCGGCGAAGCGAGAGGAAGCTTTCCGGATAGTCGAGCAGATGGGGCAAGAAGGAGTGATAGATCCATCCAGCTGCCCGTGGACGTCACATGTGGTGCTGGTGACGGAGAAGGACTCGTGACTCGTTGGATGGGCTATCTGGGTCTGTTTTCTTCCCGATGTTGGACTTGAAGAGTGGATACTGGCAAGTGGACATGGACCCTGACGACCGAGATAAAAATGCCTTTACAATCGGACAACGGGCTCGGGCAATTAACTGTAATTACGTTGGGATTGAGCAACACACCTGCTACATTCGAGAGGCTGATGGAGTTGTTGCTGTCGGGGCTGAGCTGGAAGACATGTTTCGTCTGCCTGGACGACATCATCGTTGTAGGCAAGACGTTCGACGAGCACCTGTAGAATTTAGAAGAGGTATTCCGGAGGCTCCGGAGCACAAACTTAATCCCGAAGTGCAGTCCGTTCCGGGAGAAGGTGAAATACCTGGGCCACGTAGTCGGCTGGGATGAGGTTGCGGTAGATCCGGAGAAAGTGCGCGTGAACAAACAATGGACTATCCCTGCAGACAAGTCGCATCTGAGAAGTTTCCTAGGGCGCAGGTACTGCGAAACCATTACCCGTTTCAGCGAAAAAGCTCAGAAGTTCGTCTGGGATGAAAACTGTCAGCGCGCCTTCGAACAACTGAAACAACTTTACCCAGGATACTGGCAGGAAGTCGCCCCGCTGTCACAAGCGGTCAAGTCATACTGGCTCCAGTGGAACTCTTGGTCCTAGAAGATGGGGTCATGAAACGAGCCGTGAAGAACGAAGATGGGTCTCATGCGAAGGCTGCAACTAGGTGCCCCAGGTTCTCCGTCATCTCCACGACGGAACACATGGGCGTCAAGAAGACCCTTGGAAAAGCTCGAGAGCCTACGACTGCTCGGAAGACAACGTAGGCAACCCATTTCGAGAGGATATCCATCGACACCGCGGGACCGTTTCCAGAATCGGAGAATGGAAACAAATACATCGTGGTTAACATGGACTACTTTAATAAGTGGATCGAGGGATACATTATCCCCAACCAAGAAGCTGCCACAGTTGCGGAAGTTTTAGTTGATAGCCTCATGACTAGAGCACCACTAAAGCTGCACTCCGAACAGGGAAGGAAGTTCGAGAGCGAGCTTTTCAAAGCAGTCTGCGAGAAGCTGGGCATCTAAGATCACAACGACGACATTGCATCCCCAGTCGGACGGACTGATAGAAAGGATGAACCGGACCACCGGAAAGTACCTACATACATGTCAAAGGTGGTGTCGAGCTAGTCCTGGTGGCCTGGAATGTCCCTAAACTAGCCATGCCGAAGCTTGAATTTGAGCGAGGTGAAGTGGATTGGAGGACCGTAGGGATTATGCTGGAGGTGCTGTCCCAGCATGCATGTGTGGAATACGTGCTCTGCAGCCCTTCCTGCGGAGAGGAGGTTAGGAGAAGGCAGTGCCATGCGCTTCTACAGCACATCCAGGTGCACTAAGGGCCATACCTGCTGATATCGAAAGTCGAAGCTTAGTCAGCCAGTTACGTGACCAGCACGGATATTACGTTATTTTAAAAAGTGGCACACGTGGAATGAACTATTTGCACACTTAAAAACTACCTAGTCTGCAAGATGACATTTCGTCGTTTTTTTTTTGACGTTTTTTAGGTTTTTTACATAATAGCCGTGCCGGCGTGAGCGCTTGTCACCATCTAGAAGCTTCGGCCGAGGTTCGAGATGTATCTACTGCCAGCTAGACTATTTCCATGCAATAAGTACACGTCTCGGCCTGGAAAACGCTGGAATGGTTCTCGACTTGTCGATAGTGGAATAAATACCCGACCACATGGCGGAAGCACTCAGCCAGAGTCTACGGACAACGATGATTGAGTCAACACGATAGCCCAGTCGACATAGTAATACATTTGTCATTAATTGGTCACAACTGTTATCAATTAGTGTTAAAATAATAAAAAATAACTTTGGACAGTAAAACCAGTATTTTCGTTCCACTATAGACTAGACTACACTCGGGTGAAATCGGGCAAATATTTTTTGTAGTAAGCAGTAGTATACCTATGTTCAATGGCTCAGATATACATTTTGACTACAAAGTCCAAAGAGCGAACTGTTATATTTATCCGCCTGATCCTAAAATTCAACATCGCCAATTTGCGTCGGCCCCTGGAAAGATAGGTAGCCCCATAATGTAGTTATATTTGGCCTAAAGTAAATTTGTTTTGAAGATTGAGAATCACGATGCTCCTTAACCCCTGTCCCCACTCTCCAATTATTACCAGCGGAATAGTAGAGCCTGAACCTTTTTTATCACGGAACCTCGTCTTCAGTCGTATGGTTGGTATACTGGAAAATTAAAAAAAAAACAGGCGTCTTCATTCATTTGGATAGACTTATTCAGTCCATTGCTCTTTTTCCATTCTTTGTTTAATGATCGAATTACTAATGCATTGACTTCTGCTTTGCAATTGTTGATGCACCAAGTTGTAAGTATATATCCCCGTCCCTGCATACAAGGTTCGATAAACAATCTGGCCTTAACATTTGAACAACCTCTTAAGACCCTGGTGAACTACACACGTGCCCATATCAAGTTCCGGTCAAGTTTCAATTCTATTCTATTTTACTGTTCTGCATGTTTTCAAACCATACTATTTTCTGTTCGTGACCATGTGAGTGTTAAGCCGGATATCGCCAGATGTCACATACGGTATGTAGAAACGAGTTTATTATTTTCTCAGAATGATTGAGGGAAGTTAACGTGCAATCTGTACACGTGCAAACAGATTCAAGAGATACTGCTTTCCTTTACACCAGGGGAATGTCGGGGTGCTTTATAATGTTCACACGACGAGTTTCAGCCGAAGTCACATTCTAGATCCTTGTCTGAACTACTTCCCATAGCAATAACTGGAATCTGCGAGAGTCTCAATGCAGGATAGTGTACAAGTTAATTCACCAAAGGATCCCTATCGTTAGTCTATGGATGTCATCTTTATTGTTATTTTCGCCGCCAAGTTCGTGACATTTTATTTACCTATATTATCCTGACAATGTCCACATTGGGTTGTTTACTACATTAAAAGTAAAAAAGGTACAGAGTTGTACTGAGTTGTCTTGAAAATTTGCTACCCCCGCTCTTGAAAAAGTTTTTGGGCAGGTACACTTTCACAAAAAGTTACTTTTCGCCGATGATCACTCGCTGAGAAAAATTCCTGTGGGCAGTGCTATTAAAGCGTAACCTTCTTGTACTTTCCTTTTTTAAGTCGCTCTACTCGAAAATATATTGTCCTGCATTAACTGGCCAAATCAATTTTGATATACCTTGACCAGCAGCCCGACATCATCTTACATTTTATTGCAAAGACACAATATATACATATATACAGGGTGGCGCATCGAAAACGAAACAGACGCATTTACTGGCAGCTCAGTT